TATATGGAATCTCCTTGTTGATATCTATAAAAAATAGGAAATTGGATATGTGCACATTTTTTTTTGCTCGTCTTTTTTTAAGAATCTAATTCATCAATTAAGAATAATGATACATAAAAAAAATTTAGACAGATGACTGTCTTTTATTTCCTTAAAAATTGGCACCTTCCTAGGTACGCGGAATGTTTCACATGATATTGTAAATAAAGAACCTTGAGTATTGTTTTCACTTTAAGCTTTGGTTTTAGTAGTATTTAAGAAAATTTATTCCAAGCAATGATGTTGCCGCGAGTTAAATTATTTAAAACGAAATCTTCTTTTAAATTACAACATACATAATATATATATATATATATACGTTAAATATATATTTTTTTTAAGAACTAATAAAAACCATGAGTCATCTATTTTTATTCAATAGTTTTTAAATTTCTATGGTTGATTATTACACTCTTAAATTTAAGTATTCAAAATGTTTATTTAATATTATTAAGTGTTATTATACAGAGTGATGAATTATGTTTAAGACACTCATTTTCTTAGAAAAAATTCAGGAATAAATTGTTTGGTTCAAAAAACTCTATAATAATATGTAGTAAAGCATTGTTTTTTCTTCCTTTCTATAATAAAAAAATTAAACTTCAATTTTCTTTAGAGGAACCCTTATAATTAGGATATAATAGAATATCGTTTATAAGATTCTTAAAAATTTTCAAAGTTTTTAAGAAAATGTATGTCTTATCCTTAATTATAACCTGTATAATAACATTAATATAGAATAAATATTAATTCCTTAGTGTTTTGTCAACTATGAATTGTTCATAAAAGTTCTAAACGTATAACGTATCTAAAGTAAATTTATAAACAAGATTTATAGATATGTAATATTTATAACATTTAATGTATACGTAGAAATAAAGTAAAATTTATTAACAATCGAAGAAGAGTTAACGATTGTCATATATTTACACATTATATTCAATAATCTATATTGTCTTATAATTATGACTAGTTATGTAACAAAAAAATATTCTGGAGAGAATTTTCATATCCTAAAAATATTGTTCTGCAGGTTATTACAGGAGAATATATTGTTAAAAAAATATAATCAAATAATTTCTCTAAGAATATTTTATCAAACATGAAAATTAAGAATGTTTATAAAAATTAATGATAGAAAAATATTTATATTTTGTTTGGTTGATAGTCACATAGTAAATAAAATTATCAAAAGTTCTCTAAAAAACATTTGAAAAAAAAAAAATGATTTTATGATAGACTTCTTGATAGTTTTGCATTTCTATAGTTTTTTGATGTGTTTGTACATATTTTTGTATTTCCATGGCTTCTCACGTTTTATCATTTGATAAAATGACAGTATTTTATAACAGTTATTTATATGTAGTTTGAAATCATAGAAAAAGATAGTATTTAAAATGCATATTTTATAATAAAATTAAGAAAGTGTTTTGTGTGAATAATTTTTTTACATCTACCCAGAAAAATTTATATATACGTCACTGATGGAACCTTAATGTTTAAAACTTCTTATAAATCGACTGTTGAAATGTTTTCTAAAAGAGTGCGCTAAATGTGTGTTTCTAGAGTTAAAATTTGTCATAAATGTTGTGTGTCAGAAAATGATAATACATTGTGTATAATTATTGAATAAAAAGTTAATCCTTTATCATGACCCATTCAATTACTCGCAAAATAAATTCAATATCGAGAAAAAATATTTTTGGGTTTTTTTTAGTTACATATATTTTTTAATTTATTAATTATAATTTGCATTTTAGCATCATTCCGTATAACTTATAATGGAGTCAACATTATTTTTTAAACATATATATTTAACTTAGTCTATAAAGTAGAAAGTAATTTGACTATGAAAATCACGGGCCCATAGCAACTTTTGGACCGTTATTTCGAAAGTTATTAACATTTTTATACGAAGTCGAGAGAAGTACTGTAGACGAGAATCATCTAATAATATAAATAGCCATACTCGCGACTATCCATAAGTTTACATAAAATATCATTTTAATTTCAGAAATGCTGATATCAAATTTTTGTATCTAAATTTGGTTAACAACATAATTAGACTCATATAATGAGGCGTGTAGTTTCAAAGTCTGGTAAAACTGTCTTTTTGTAATATTTTTAAAGGTTGCATTGCACTCTATGTTCTGTAAAAATATTGAACACATAATAATATTATAAATAGCTTAAACTGATCATGATAAATTGTTTTACTCATATAACCCCGTTGAAAAATTTTCTTTTTTGTTGGTTCTGGAAACGTTCAAAAATTGTTTTTAGCTGGTTTGAAACACGTCTCAAATATTGATAATATTTCACATACATCAAGATATTGCAGTTGGTCTAATTAAATGTAGTTAATATTTAATTTTTTTTAGTTACCCTAACCTTGAAATTTAAACTGATTGTAATTGCATTTAAAATTTTTTATGCTAAAAATAGTACAATATAGTTTCATATTATAGCATCGCTGTACGTTATATAGTTAAGCCTAATAATGCGTTTATATATATTTTTCTTATATACAGACATTAATATTAATATATATATTTCTTTAACAAGTTCAGAGGAAAATATTATGAAATGGCCTTTACTTTAATCTAAGGCTAAACACACATCACCACCGTTGCTCTTGAAGAAAACTGGCGGAATTGATCAATACTTATTACGGATTACACGGCCGTTGCTGTTTTTTCTCATTTGTTGTGTGTGCTGCTAGCTGTGTGTAATGTGTATGTGTGTTTTTATGATCGGTCTACGCCACCCCTTGTATATGCTTTTTTTACTTCCCTGACCCCCTGCCCGTGTCCAACATGTACACACACACACCCTCCAACCCCGCAGGCTAAAACCCACAAAAAACTCGCTTGCTTCTTCGTCTTTTTTTCTCTCTCACTCTACATCTCACCACTTCCTCTGCAAAAAGACGACAAAACACCCCTAAACGATCGTGTAGAGTAGTACTACGCCAATATTTTTTAATGTTATTTCTTTGTATATATTTATAATTATATATATATATAGTTGAACTAGGAGCATTTTTTTAAGCCCGAGGGTTTCTGACTTAAAAAGAAAATTATTTATTTTTTGAACTTTCTTAATACGATACAAAATGACGATGTTACAAAATATTATTAAGCACTCGGGTGGGGAACTTAAGTGATCAATTCGATAAATTCGAGTTTAAATTCTTAAAGTAAAATAACAGTTTTTTAGTTACTAATTAATGTTAGATTGCTGGTTATCTATAGTTTAAAAAATATTATTGTATTTGTTACTTAAAGACGTAAAAAAAATAATTATATCAATTTTATATACAAAAGTTTATATGAATATATTAATAAATGATATTTTAATTAATTATATAGAATAATATATATTTAATTAATAAAAATAAATAATTATTATTTTGCTAAAAGTTGGGTTTAACATTCTTGAATGGTTGTTCCTATATTTATAATATTTTGTATTAATCTAAAAATAATTTAAATGATATGTTTAAATGAATATTATTTTATTTTTATAACTAAATAACTATTGTAAGTAAATGTAAAGTAACAGTTTTTTTAATGTATAACATTATTTTTATATGATATATGTAAAAATAGTTGTAATATTGTGGTAGTAATAGCAATTTATTCATGATAAATTAAGTGGTTCGTGTATTATTTTTTTAGTAATGTAATAAATTTTCAAATAATTTAGTTAATACTATAGAGGTTGAAGATATAATAGATCCGGCATTTAAAAAACAGTGTAATAAGTTTATATTTGCTTCGTTGAATGATCACATTATTATTATAACATAATCTGTACCTCACCTCTACTCTGCATATTTTGAATTTATATTTTATTTATAAACTCTATATTTAAAAAATACTTTGCAAGTAATGGATCAAAAGTTGTTAAGGATAGTATCTTTCTTAATTACATAATTTTTTATTTTATAACCTAGTTATATATGTATGTTGCCATTTAAAAAATAAAGTTGACTCTATTATAAGTTATAAGGGATGAATTCAAAAATGCTAAATAGTTAATTAATCAATAATTATATGAAACTAAAACATACAAAAAAAAAAATGATTTTAACATGATTAAGAGAAATCGAATGACTAATATTATTCTGTATATTGTTGCAATTTATCAAAATACTCTTATAACACAAATAAAGAGCCAGAAAAGTTGAACAGACTGAACGGTGTATAGAATGCGCAAATTAAATTTTTGAACCAATTTTCAACTTATAATGATATTGGGTTGGTTTGACAGACCGAAAGATGCCCAGATAGTTTAAGTGTTCAATATTCGACTTTAAAAAATTGTATTGGATCAGAACAGGGTTTGGTATGAATGTAATCGTACAAATTTATTCAATTTTTGCAATATGAATTCTGAAAGTGAATTAATTGATTCAATATAGAAATGTGAATTTAAATTGAATGTGATAACGCTTTATTGAATATATATATGTAAATAGATTGATTTCAATTTCGATAAAAATTAACTATACAGAGTTATTGTTTAACTGTGACTCGCGAAATAACTTTAAAAATATAAAACACAATATGATTTTTTCTTTTTAAAAGTTTTTAATATTTTAAGTTCTATAATTTTCAAAAAAATATTTAGTTCTGCTACCTCCTTCTATTCCTTTTAAAATTGTATCAACTTTTGTTTTTCAAATGTAAACATTAATATATGTTACCATAAATTATACATATCTATTATATTATGAGAAACATTACATCTGATCAACTCAAAAAGAAGAAAAAATTTGAACCTGTATTTTAGAAATTGTTAGCACTAATATAAAGAATATAGATGAAGCGCATCTATTTATCTCTAAGTATTAATAAACCACACTGCTCCTCTCGCCTTGGCATAATTTTAAAAATGGTTAATGATAAACAAATCTACTCGTTCTAAAACGATTGAATATTAAATTATTATTTTATTTACACTGTATCACTTAAATATTTAAGCATATCTTAAACGTTATGACAATAGGTTTTGGTAACAAAGTATTTTGTTAATAACACGCTATTACTTTTTTTTTTTATGTTTGATGGTTTATTGTGAATTACATGCAAAAAAAAACTAACGGTATGTGTTAGCACTTTGAGAACCCTTGCATGTTAAAAAACGACGACCAAAAAACTTCGACCGGCTCGGCTTGAACAGTTGTGTGGGGTTGCGCCTGGAACACGTGGCACGCGCTCACGTTCCCGTGAGGGGTGCGGAATAGCGTACTCTGTATATATGTATATGTATATTTTTTTATGTTTTTAAATCGCCCTCGGTATGCATGCGGCAGCGGAACCCACGTCAGCAGCTAACCCCACCGGTCAGGACTAAACTTTTTTTTTTTCATTAGTCCCCCTCGTCCATTGCATTACCCTCCGAGCTCACACCACCCCGTCATCGTTATACGCTTCGTCCCTAGTATGCTATCTAGATTCTTGCACTCATACAAAAAAGGGGTTAATATAAGAGGTGATTTTATACAAACGATCCAAAAAGTTTTCAACTAAACAATTGCTAAACTAGCTCTTACCATCGTAAATCAAATGATTTAAATAAAACAAATCAAACAGTCTGCACTAATTAATGTACGTAATGAATGAAAAATAAAAAATTGATATTTTTAATAATAGAATTTTTTTGCCGATAATAAAATAGAAAAACTTGTTGTGCAAATGTATTCTTTTAAACTATTTTTGCAAAGGGACAAATTTTTATACTACAATTATAACTATAAACTTATACAGCATAATTTTTTTAAAGTTTTTTTTTAATTAAATCTGTCAAACATTTTCTTAAAATTCAAATTAAATTATCTTACTAAATTATCGAAGTTAGCTATAAATACTTTTGTTGTTTCATATTCTATAGAAGAACAACAACTAGTTTATAAAAAGAAAGAAATTATAGTTTATTTTTTTTTTCATTGTGACACTTTTTTTTGTTTTGGCTGTTAAACTGTTGTTTATCAGTGTGTATGTGTTATTTATTTATTTTTTTTTTGTACGTTTGTCTGGTCTAACCCTGAAAACTCCATCATCGAGGTCATACTAGTGTAGTTCTCGACCCCTCTGGGTCTGGGCACACGACATAAAAAAAAACTACTACTACTTCTACTACTACTATTATACTACCCTGTGTGTGCTTTTGTCGACACCCTGACCTACTAAAAAATCGAACCAGACTCATTCAGTATGTGCCTGAAAACTGTTGTGTGTGTATGTGAGTAACTTTTTAATTTTTAATCACCAATAACGCAATCTTATTTTTGAATACAGGTAATAGTAAATTTTACATAAATAATGCATTATAATCATTATTTAAAAACGTACATTTGACTTGCAAGGACGTTTAACTTTAGTTTGATAATAAATGAAGGTAGGGGATTAAAACCGCTTAATGTCTGCGAGACGTAGATTAATGTACTTAAGCAGTGATGTAGTAGTAGTAATAACAGGGAGGATAAAAAAGTCCCTTGTAGATTAATTAAAAAAATAAAAGAATACTTGAGTTTCCCCAATGCTTACTTAGAGAACCACTTCAGAATCGAAAATTAATGCTTCAGGATTTCTTAATTTATTTTTCCTCGTTAAAAACTTTTTTGCTTGGGATTAAAGCAAAGAAAGCAGTTTTAATCTCCGCAGTTAAATTATCTCCACTAAGTAAAAAAGGCACTTTTACCAAAGTTTGTTTCGCGGTTTTAATTGGTATCCGGTTACACAAACGGTGGGACTTTTTTTAATTCCCGTCGACTTCTTTCTTTTTTAATTGCTTGTCGCCTTTGTGGTTTTTAAGTAAAAAAAAAAAACAGACCAATTACAAGTGCCGCTAAGGGCTAGCGGAGGGACGAAGTCTCTTAAAGAATTTGTAGTCGTAATTAATGGAATAATTCAATTTGGAGGGTGGAGACTTGTAAACATAAAAAAAATGCTTGTAAAAAAAAAAGTTAATTACGTTTAATTGAGAAATGAATATTTTTTTGTTAGTCTCACTTTATTAATTGGAAAATATTACTTTTATACGCTTTTCTAATACTTTTTTTTCTGCTCAGTAATTAATAAGTTATGGAAACATTAGTAAGATTTTTAAAATTAATTTTTGCTGATATCACATGTTTCTAGTTACATTTTAACAGTATCATAAATAGTTTTAAATTATGCATGTGTAAGAAAATGTTGTAATGTCAAAGAAAGTGATATTTTAACAATTTTGTTTTAAGTTGTACATAACTATTTATGGGAACGAAAACAATTCGATGATAAAATTTTAGGATCGATAGATTGTTCAAAAACAGCGTTAAAGAGAAAGAAAAAGAAGAATGTTAGATTGAGGTGTGAGGAATAAGAGCGGTGATAGGGATGACGCTTTTTTTTGAAAGGGAGAACAAAAGGAACGTCGGGAACAAGCTGGATCAGTGATGATACTGAGATTTTTTCATTCTTTTTTTATTTTAATGAGAACAGTTACGAAAAAAATCCCGAAGGGCTGCACAAAACAATAACAAACGCGGTGGCGGGTAAGAGGTCAAATTTCAAAAGAAAAATCGAAGTAGATAATACAGGCGCTGTAAAAAAAGAAAAAAATACATTAACTTTTTCGTTTTTATTTTATATCATTTTATTTTTCGTCAATGCAAAATGTTCTAGTAACTTGATCACGTTTGTTAAAAAAGAACCGCAAAAAAATTTAAATCGTTATTTAAAAGTTGTGAAAAAGTATCTCGCCGACTTAAAATTAGATATTTTAACTATCAACAAAAAAAAAAAAATGACTTAATTGCCAAAAATATAATGGGAAAACTTTTGCCAGCAAAAAAATAGTGTCAATGTTGACGATAAATTGCAACGTCATGAAAAGTGTAGTTTATTTTGAAAAACGTGAGATAATTGTTTGGACTTTTCAAATAACATAACATTAATTTCAAACAATGATCTAAGTTAAGCTAAATCATAAATATTATTGATCGCGGAAAAACAAAAATTATTGTATTTTGATTCATTTTTTTAAAATTCTGAACAAATATTTTTGATTTGAAATCATATTGATTTAATTCACTAGAACACTAATGCATTTTTTATACTATTAAGGCGATTAAAAAAAATTATTTTAGAATGATTACAGAAAATAATTGCGTTTCATTAACTTTTATATAGATACTTACAGAGTTCACCCTATTAAGGCAGTATTTTTATAATGATGAATGCATGGATATTCTTTTATATTTTTTATTACTCTGCATACCATAGGAATAATAGCAAACATTGTGCATTCGTTTAAAATCAATAAACTATACGAATTAAATTATTGTACGATTTTTTAAGAACATTGAAGAATGAAAAACGATGGAAATATTTATGGCTCTTAAAGTTTCGCCTTTAAGGAAATCTAGCTCCGATTTTTCGGTCCATTGTATGAGTTTTTCTGACCAATGTATAATAAATACCATTAGAAAACCATAAAATCTCGGACATAAAACACTCTAACGACAATTGGCGCATCTAATGTATACACATCATCATTATCCTTATTATTATAGCAACATTTCTTCGAAACAAGTTATTCCAAATCTTAATATACGGAAACAGTAATGCTTCTAGAATAACTCAAGATATCATTAGACCAAAACCGTAAAGATTACATATTAAAGTCCACGGGAACGTTTTTTATTTGTATTTTTAATGTGGAATAGTCGCATACAGACACAATTTATTTGCTCTCTGTTTGTAATAAGTTACACAGGTTTTTTTTTTCATTCATAATCACTATATTGTTTAATTCGTTAACTTCAAATACGCATATTTCGGTAGACCATATCATGCGTATTGCATAACCGAAAAATGCTAAAAAAAGATCAAGCTTCAATTGCAAATCTAATTTTAACAACCCCTTTTTTTGCGGCCATCATTAATACGCATACGCACGCCAGTATCGTGGCCGCGGCCATCTCCACTATCTCCACTACAGCAGCGGCACCGCAGAAAGTACACAGATATTCATGTGGGACGACGGTACGATGGGTATCTACACAGGCCGAAGTGATGCGGGGGAGTCGCCTGTGTGTGTATAATTGCGGCTGGCAACATGGCGGGTTCGTCTTTTGATGGAGGACCAATGCACGCACCGGGACGGCCCTACAAATGACGCTCCGCATTAAAACGCCGACGGGCACCCCTACCCTCCGACTGCTTATCGTACTTTTACATTCGGCATTACGTCGCTGTCACATCTCTCGACGTCGTCCCTTAAAGGTCTCCACTCTTTTCTCTCCTTTCTTTGTCCCTTTTTTTTAATAAGAAAACCCGTGAGCAAACAAACATTTTGCGGCTATTCTACGGCGGGTCCAATCATGTATGAGCAATAGATGCCGCTGTCCATTAAAAAACTTGAACAATATGATTTACCTATTTTAAACAGCGTAAATTTACCAACACGATTACCATGGAAAACTCTAAAATAGTATTAATATTTATGTGACCAGAGAAAATTGCCCGAATAATATTAATATGTAAAATTACGGAAACTTCAAAGAAAAAATCAAAAATGCCTAGTTGTTGTTTTGACTTGATGTGAAAAATATTATAAATACGATACATATTTTATATTAAGTAACTGTCCTTCTTTTAAATAATATTTTAGATTAAAAATGTATATAATGTACTCAGTGATGTTAAATCCGTACAATATATTATGACATGAATTTAAAAACTTATCAAAATCTATCGTCATCAAAAAATTAACTTTAATTTATGTTTAAACTCATCAATCCCTACACTTTGAAACCTTAAATTTAAGTTAGTTTTACGACTATTATATGCACATATTTTAATTTCTTCTATTTTAAGTAAGACTATAGTTGAGTTTCTTCAAATTTACATTTAGTACGGTTATTTTATCATTAATTCGTTTATTGAGTAAATTACAAACTATCGAGTTATAATATTAAAACTGTATATATTATTCTATATAAATATTCTATAATATATATGTATTAATATGAAGTTATTGGGAAACATTTCAGATAGTGTTTGTTTTTGATATATATATAACTTTCTTTTATTGAATAGAACATTCGTTTTTTTCAATACAAGTTTCCATATTCATAAAAACACATTGAGTTGTTAAAAACAGTTTTTTTTTAGTTAAATTGGAACATAAGTTGTCTAGACATATAGAATACATAAAAATAATACAAGACAAATTTATTTGTACATTAAAATACATAAAATCGTTGTGTCTACTGCGACTATAAAATTTTGATATATCATGTAACAACACTTTTGTACACTTATTATTATAAACTATTATATGTTAGTTTCATTTGTTAAGTAAGTTTTTTTGTTGTATTCTCTGTATAAATGCATTTATATGCCTTTTTCGCTGTACAATTATTACATTCTACAGGATCCGTGACGTTTGAGTCAGCCCCATGCACAATTAACTTAATCATTATTCACAAAGACTTCAGTTTTGAAAAATCGTCGACGAGCTCTGACGTTCCTACTCTAAAGTAATCATCTCGTTACTTAAAACAAAATGAAAAAATCCGTCGACGCCTTTGAAACGCCGAGTAGCTAATTGTCGGCGATTTGTCATTTTCGACGAAAAGCCATTCCGGAGGATCGTTGAAGGGACACGAGGAAAAATATTTCAAGATTGCTCATAATAATATCCAGAAGTTGATTGATTACCCCTCGGTAGTTTCAATATAACATGCGCACGTACTGCTCGCATTTTGCAACGTTAATTAAGAATAAATATCACGGTCACGAAACGCTTTTGAGAAAGAACTTAATCCCTCGAGTTAAGAAAAAAAATAAAGAATACCTAAAGCGAAACGTTCCACTTATAAAAAATAATCTTTTTTTTTACGGTTATTATTGTTCGTGAAATTAATGACTCAAAATTAATAACCGCGTCCGCGGAGAGTGGAAATAAAAAAACAACTCTTAACTTTTATTATTCTTGGATATGCGGTTACCACCGGGGTGCGTATATTGGTCGACTGTGCAATAAAAAACTATAAAGTCGCCGCTAGAGTGTTCTTAATTTTTCATCGTCGTTTCGTACAACTTTAATATTCATTAAAAAAATAAATAAATAAGTGACGAGCGCAGTTTGACGCGGCTATAGTTCTTAAGTCTTCGGGAGTCGTGCGGCGAAATGAGTGTGTACTACAGATGAGGGTCGAGTGTGGCCGGGAAAGTTAATGAGATTTTTAAATTAGATTTTTCCCGCTGCTGCCTTCATCTTGGTTTTTTTCGTTGGACCGGGAAAATTATGGCGGTAATTTTCTCAGCTATCCCGTAGTATATTTATATATGAATGTAGTAACGAGGAAAAGTTGGTGTATCTCTTTCTTAAGATTTTTACCACCGTCGCCACTACTTCTCTGTTATTGTATACACGAGTACGAAGATAATCGAAATTTTATTGTTTGGAAAGATAACGAGGGTGTTTTTTTTTTTGCTAAGTAAATATAAATACTCTGTTGTTATTGTTAAGATTGCCGATGGCATGGAAGCAATATAATAGTAATTTTAATGATATTTTAAAACCCACTATAAATGACTTAATATAATTTCCATTTTTTTAAGATTATATCTCGGAAGTATGATGCAAAAATTAATTAATTAATGAAAAACATTGGCAAATTTCTTAACATTATTAATTTAGATACGAATATAAAATTTACATAGTTTATGGGTTTTAATAATTGAGGATCTTATTTCCAAACGAAATGATGTGCCAACATTTTTTTACCTATATTAAGATCTAAATCGCCAAATCCAACGGAAAACAATATGTTTAGGCATAAAATTACTAATTAACTAAATTTGTTAGCAGATGAATAATAAGTTATTGGAATATTATTTAAAACAAAAGATAAATACTATTTATAATATTATTGTCTAATACTATTGTCAGAAAAGTATAAATCTATAATATCTATCTCGATTATTCGGTACATAATTAGTTTTGGATGCAAGTTCCACAATTTCTGAACTGGTTAAGACTGACTTTCTATTTAATATGTCTTCCGAGTATAAATCATCGAAAATATTCTGTTAATCACAGTAATCCAATTATAACCGTTTAGTTCAATAATTACAAAAGGAAATTGCATCGTCAAACCAATTATTTCGCAAACCTTATATTGTTAAGAAAAAATACATCCTTTACTTTTTCGCATGGATATTGTCGCAATTTGTGTGTAAGGTATTTCATTTTCACCCTCACCTCGGGACCCGTTTTTTGTTTAGCACGGCGAATATTTCATCTTATTCTATTCTCTTACACATATTATTCTTTCTAGCTCTTATCTTTCCCTTTCTTTTTATCATGCACATACACACATACAGTCATATAATATATATATATATATATATATATATAATCCACTACCCTTATATATATATGTATTCACGAATTGGAATATTCTCGGCGCGTATACAGCCATTGTACAAAGGAGGGATAGTGGTGGTATCTCCAAGCGGCAGGAAAGTAGCCTCGTTAAGATTACATATGGAAATGTGCTATGCTATAGGAAGAAGAGAAAGTTGCGGGATAGGAGGACGAGAGGAGTTTAGTGTGTACGAATGAGTAGTATGCGTGGGAGCGCGTGCGCTAGTTAGAAAGAGTGGCGGCGGGTAGTGAGTGAAAGGGCTTGGGGATCCCTTAGCATTTCGCATTGGCGCAAAAGGGAGTTAAAATAAAAAACCGAAAAAAATACTCCTCCGCCGCCGCCGCTGAGTGTTGTACCGCGTCTTTCACTTTCTATTGCTGCAGACAAAACCAAATTCTGTTATTGATTAATATCTGCGTCTCTCCTCCTCCCGCACCTTTTCATCTTTTTCTTTTTTCATATGTATATATACGACTACGAGAACGTCACACTAGGAGCGCCGTGCGTTTTTAATGCCGTTCTACTCTCTATACGCACTTGAAGGCGACGGCGGCGGCGGTCCGTCGACCCTTTTGCCTTAACGAGTGGAACAAGAATGTCGGGTAGGGGTGAGAAATCGAAGAAATAAAACAAAATGTCTTCCAAACCCTTCGACACAACGACGTACATTTGTTGGAATAAAATTAACATTAGAAGGCGACAAGGATTGTTAGAATCTTCTGAAAAATTCGCGACTGAGAAAAAACGTATTAATTTACAGGTTACGTGGAAAATTGATGCAATTATATTGGTGAGATATAAGTAAATTATCGCTCGATGGTTTTAGCCAACTGTAATTACTTTGATACAATTGAGAAAAAAATTTGACTACCAAGAAAAATTGCACGAGATACAGTGATAATGTTATTCGTCGTGTTACATAAGTAGTAATAACGAATATTTATTAATATTCGATTAATATTAATATTATACCTTAATTATCGGCGAAAGAATGATTTATTTTCACGTAATATAGAAAGAGTTAAAACTTTTCATCAGTTTTATTACGTGTAGTAATTAGATCATTTTGAATTATACTATTTTTGCTTTTGCTATTAAAAAGAATAATAAACTATAATTTATAGATGTCGTAGTTGGATTATACTTACAGACAATTTATAAAAAAATCATTAAATGCATACTAGTTTTTAAATTTTAATTATGAATTAAAATAAGTCTAATTAAATTAAAATTTTCTCGTCCGAGTCATAAAATTCGTAAATTTTCGATTCCGCGCAAGAAAAAGTGTTCTACGAAACAAAGTTGTTTGATTTTCAAAATATTTTTTTGAAGAATAAAAATGGTAATGTAATTCAGTTATAATTTTCGTACTTTGTGTATAACCATTACACAAATGTAATACTATTAAAATTCATCATACGTATGCACTATACATTTATTATACAGCACATGCTATACAATCTTAGTCTCAGGCTCGTTCATCAAACAAACGCTCTTACGTGAGCTCATCTTTTAGAATGATTAATGTTTTCAATTTGATATTTTCGAAATGTTCTTCGCATTAAATTCACGAATGTAAAACAACTGGCAAATGAATTTTTATTTCTGCGCATTTAAAAACATTCTCGAGTTAATTTTACGTATTACGATTTTTTATATTATTAATCAATTGAATTATATTAATTTATTACGAATATGGAATTATAAAATCAAAATTCAGTTGCTTTAAACAAATCAAGCACAATAGTAAATTAAGCGGATCGATTTAGTATTATTTGACGTTGTGTGATATCAGACAAGGCCTGTACACGATCGAGATACATATACGGTCCTTAAACCGATTGAAGTTCAGGGTCAAGGACTATAATGTAAGCGTATCGTTTGTACTGCTTATATTTTTTGTGGTATTATGGGTCGTAAACAATACAATGTCTAAATAAATGTCTAGATTCACTACGACTAAAAAAAAAAAAAATAATAAACACACTTTATAGTTCAATGTTAACACAAAACAAATGAATATTATTCGAACTCGGGTCTTATGTATTTTTATAATTTCGTTTTTCAGTACACAACAAAAACTTTATGGCATAATCATTCCCGTATAAGGTTACTTCTTTTTAGTTGATTCGCAAAGAAATGTTGTGTTTTAACGATAAAAAAAATGGCTTGTACCAAGTCGGAATACTTTTTTCTTACAAAGCGTTTTTAATTTAAGCAATTTGCTTGTCCGACATCTAAAATGTATTTCATGCTTTAATTACATCCGCACTCGAAGAGCAAGGGATGCGTATCTCATTATTTATGTTAATCATTTATTATCTTAAAAAAGCCAGCGAAAAAACTTGTTTGGGCGTTAGCGTTTAAGAACGGCAATTTGTGAATCTAATTAAAAATATTGTTGTGTTTACGCTTGCTTTATTTTTTCTCGTTTGTCATCCGCTGGCTTCCCCTCTTGTTATTTAGCCGTTCTCTTGGCGGTATTCCACAAGAGAGGTAATATTTTCCGGTAGATAGCTTTTGGGCCACTAAAGGGTCCGGTTTTTTTTCAGTTCCTTCTATTTTCCGGCACTGTTATTAATCATTTAACGTAGTTAGTACACCGTTTTCTCCTTCGCGGACACGGACAACCCGAATAAGGGAGTTCGCAATACCTGCCCGCAGGATTTTTTTGTTCATTCTTTTCGCGTGACCCGTGTTTAATTTTCTCGGGACAAAAAGCGAGAACGACAAATTTCTCCGTTGAACTTTAATTAATGACGTTGTTTTCTTTGGATTTGATTAATAGTCGTAACGTAGCCGGAGATTTACAAATACCGTAACGTTCATTAATCCACATTAGTAAAAAAGGAAAAATAAGAATTGTAAAAGTCTTGGCTGAGTATAGAGTTTTAATATCTGTTTTCAACGCTTTGTATATTCAGCTCATAAATCACATACTGCGGATGTAGTTTTTTGTTTTCGGTACTTCTCATCGATGGAAGACTTTAATCTTTGTTGTTGATAGAATTTCTGATACAACACAATAATTTATAGTTCATGTACAATAACGAAGGGATCATGTGGAAGCAATAGTACTTCATCATGTTATTCCACAGAAACTGGGTCCAGTGCACACAGGTGCCTCAATTTTGCCTATTCGACTTGCCGTATAACAATTTTTTTTACATTCCTCCAAAAAAAATTATCATAAAAAATGTAATAATTTAGGTAAATGTTATACTATTAAATGTCGACTATTAGATTAACATACATTTGATCCTTCTAAGATTTACGAATTACACCGAGTAATTTTATTTAGGAAACAATAAATAAATTGTTCGAAAAAGATAGCTCATTTCTTACTATACATTTTATAAACATTATTCATAAATATATTCGTATATTTTATTTAAAATTAGTTACTGATTGTTATGTTACTATAGCTTAACTTTTTATATTTTCGTGATTTTTCAGGGACTTTTAAGAAGATTATTTAGAATGTTTAATAAAAATTGCAAGAGCCATAAATATTGAATGATGAAAATTGATAAAATATGAAAAAAGTTTATGAAGTTTTCAATATTTTAGTAAGTGGTTTAAATTGAAAATAATTTAAATTGAATAAAGCCGTCGGTCTTAAGTAAAAAAATATGTTTGTCAGAAGTTTTTTTCTCTGAAAACAATGTTGTGTTTCATTGTGATTATTTTTTTTTTTTTTGAAAGGTGAAATTATTATTTTGCATTCAATTAAAATTTTATACCGAAAATGAGGGATTAAAATATGAGACCGTTTGTAATGGAATTGTTTTGTAATGACATAAAAATACTCTTTATTGTTATAACAATAATTTATTCGTTTAAATTGTATTGTGCTCTTCTTTACAGAGTGCACAAACGAGAAGACGGCGAAAAAAAAAAATCAAGCGAATGAGAGAACAGAAAGAAAATCGCGCTTCTCATAGTATATTCAGTCAAGTGACGTAAAAAGCTTTTAGCTCTTGTAGCTTTCCACCTCCCACTCCGCGGCCGTTAACCGTTTTGCCGGACTCATTTACCCTCATTTTGTCTGGACGTGGAACAGTCGGAGTGTGGTGGTAAAGAAAACAGGGAACCTTTTTAAAAATGAAGGGATTTACTGGATACGAGGAGCTCTGGAAGGCATACAGCCATATAATCGAGAGAAATGGTTCGGTTGCTACTACCGTCTCTGCTCGTACATTGACTTCTTAATGGAACCAGCTTAGTCTTGTGTTGGCTAACATAACCCTACGTCTTCGGCCATATAGAGCATGCGTTGAGGAGGTAAGGAGAGAGAGCCTTCACCTCCGCGTGCGTGTTATGTTTATTGCATATATGCCTTCGGGACCGACAGCCATTAACTTTTGTCATTTCGCCCTCAGTTTTTTTTTGGACCTTCTTATATAAAATATTATATATATATACGCGTGTGTATTTGCTAGCAGCGGAGAGAGTGTGTGTGATAGTGCGTTCATTTATCGTCAGCTCAAACGGATTACATTTTTCTCTATGTTTTTTTTCTCATTGTCTTTTTTGCCTTCTTTTACGTCCACCCTTCACTCTTAACTCTTCCCCTTTACAGCCACACCGGCCCAACTGTTTAGAAAACATATAACACCATTGCGACGACGTCTAGGTTTATGGCAATATTCGGAAGTGAGAAAAAATAACAGCTCGCTTCTAATTTCGGTATCGACTACGTAGAAAAATAAATTGTACATATTTCCAGATCTTCCGAGAGTTGGTTTTTTTCTCGTTCTATTTTTCATACTCGCCAATCACAAACATTCGATCGTTATACCGTACAAATGTTTATACCCAACCGTATAGTGTAGTCTGTCATAAAGTTTGTTACACGTGTATGGTGTAATGTTTCTCATAAGACGAACGAACGTGACCAAGTCCGTGTTTGTTTAGAGGATTTAATAAATCCAGTTGTTTATACATTTTTTAATTTCAGGTCATGCTTTGATACACACACGCGTTAATTTCATTGTTAAAGACTAGTTAAAATTTCTTAATATTTACTGTAGAACGACAGCAATAATCGAACGGTTAGTTTTATGAAACGTTTGTTTTTTATAGAAACCTCTTCCATTTAAGGTTTGTTGTCATTTCGTTGATGCCGGTAACCTATTGCGGCACTAAGCGCATAATGATAATGTTATTGAAACGTTATCGGATGAGGAACGTTAACGATATTTATTTACTAAATCTCTTTTCTCTCAACGCAATTACGTACTACGTCTACGCAATAATAATCCCTCCAGAATCGACGACGTTAATCAGCGAATGTAAACAGTATACGGGAAGGTTTTTTTATCTTTACCGCAAAATCGTTTTTTTTTTTTAATGTATCAGACCCGAAAAAATAGGGTTTGTCAGCGATTAGTCCGGTAACGGAAGAGATGGCACACACAGACCGATCAATATGTGTTCCAGTATAATTTATATATGTATTTGCGTCGGAGTAAAAAAATAAAACAAAATAAATAAAAGAATCGTTTTAATTCGAGAGTTTGATAGTGGTATGTGCGCAGCCAATAAATCTCCAATGCCTAATATAGTACACAAGCAGAAAATAGCAGCGACGTCCTATGCACACGAGACGTATATAACCGATAAAGCACACCGATGTTGGATGGCATTTCGGGAGTATGAGACGGAGAGAGGAAGAGTAAAAAAAAAAAAAGAACCGAAGGGATTCTGTTAGAAAAAAATGTCCTCGGGGAGTCGTCGGAATCGGTTGATTGTCCTTACCCTTCGCGACGGCAGCGGTGGCGTATCTAATCCCTTGCCCGACTATGGTTTTCAGTACAAGTGTAGTGTATACACATATAGATACGAATGTGCGTGTGGATGTAAGTGTACGGCTGATGTCCAAAATCGCTCCCTCGATCTACTTACCCGCGTCCTCCACTTGCCATCGTTAAACTCCTCTGCCACGCATACCATGACCGGCGGTGGGTTTATTTTCGCCATTGGTCACGTAAATAGTTAATGGTTCGGAAAAATAAAGGCGACAAAGAAAACAACACATTCGTCCGGGAAAACATACGGTTCGAACGAGAAAGACAGAAAAAACGGATTGTTGTAGTTGACCCGGTGGCCGCGGTTTTTTACTGTTTGTTCGGGTAGTCTCTCTGTTTTTCTACGAGTAACAAAATTAATGAGAAAAATGACCCAAAAGAAAGCGAAATATCTGTGGAAAACGCACGGAAGACGAAAAACGAAGAAAATTATGTTTATATGTATATACTGGTTTATTATAAAACTTTTTTATTTTTTTTAAGAAACAAATAGTTTGATTTTGCCAATTTTCGCGTTAAATACAGTAAATACTACATTTCACAGAAAATAATATTGTATTTTATTCCGCATGAGCATAATTTAACGGGCATTAACGAACTAAAGATATTTTTTGTACTCAGGATCCATTCGCCAATGACTATAAGTGATCTGGTTCGTCAAGTGCTTCGGCGACGCGATTGTCGAACAAAGTGTTCTCCCGTTTCAATATTTTGTCCAGAATTATTCATCTGAGGCAACGAAAATAGGGTGCAAATTAAATTACTAGCCCACATCTTATACATGCTAAAAAGCCATTGAGCACCTGCGATCGCACGTTCTTCTCCCTAACAACCTACGTGACACCTGAGCTCACAATATTTTATTATTACCATAAAAGCACGTAGTGCAACGTGTAATTTTCGCGTAACAATATTTATACTGGTAAATCATCTAAACAAAAAAAAGATAATTATTTTAGCCGCGATCGTTGCTTTACTATCAATACCTATTATGATATTCTCGAGAAAGCGCACATCAGCATTGCAACGTTGGATTTCGTTTTATTTTTTATTCTCACACAATTTATACCTTTGTGTATTTATACAATATATATATACACATCTTTGTGTGCGAGTGCGTTTACGATTCCTTATATACATACAAATACATTGGCGGTCTTAGAATAAACTCACATATATACGTATTTATGAGTCACGGATGTGTATATTAAATTTAAAAGTTCAACGAAACCACTTTGCACCCCAGAATATTGCTTATATTATATACTTTGTACTTACGTGAATGTTGCCATTGATCGATACCTCCGACCGTGTAGGACTGGCGGGTGTAGCTTTCACATATGATATCTCTGTCCACACAAATCGAATCCACTTTAAAAGAGCTAGTGTTAAGAAATAAAAATATAAATTCAAAATACAAAGTGAGATGTTTTGTCGTTCCAGAAGGATGAAAAATGAGTCCGTTGATTTTGCTTGTGTATTCGTAGAAATGTTTTTCTTCTTCTAACCAACGTCGATGTCGGTGAACAATACTCGATAACCAACGATGTATTCTGAATATCAATAAATGTAAATATACATATTAAATTGACCAAGGCAGTTAGTGTTTCTACAGAGTAACCATGTTGAACTACATGCATTTTATTAATGATTTTTGTTTAAAATATGAATCAGTAACGTATTATGTCATATCAGTGTGTAATTACTGGAAAACTAGATGAAATAATAGCTGTCAATAGATTTGTACACGTCGAGGCTTAGAAAAAAAAAAAAAAAAAATGTCGTTTTAAGTTACCCTCGCTTTTGTAACAGGATGTCACTGTAATACAATAATTGGTTGCAATATTTTAGTGAAAAGCTTAGCACGACTATTTCAAACTGCTTCATTAAACATAATTTTTAAATACCGTCGAATGGGCCAAATGAGGGCGGTTGTTAAACTTTTGGGGCAGTTTAATATCTATTATCATTTTAGTAATTTCGATCTACAGAATTAGTTAGATGTTTACAATTATTCTTAAGAAACAAAAAATATCTATTCATAAATTATGAAATTTATAAAATATTTAACTGGCACATTTGATAGTATTTTATTACATAACTACTATAAATTTGTATATTTATCGTCGTTTTTGTTAGAACGTTAATTGAAGTATTGTTATAGCATTGAAGTACATCTTATATTTGTGGACGCATTTTGTATCCCAATGTTATTCATAAGCAATATTGTCTTTAAAAATTGGCCACCACAATACTAATCAAGTGACATTTAGAGTACATAGGCTTGTACACAATTTTTCCATGGAAAATTAATTTACAAATAAAAATTATAATTCATAAGTAATTGGCGTTACGTAGAAATTAAAATAGTACACTGTATGGTCATTGAAACGGGAAAAGCTTATGACTAAACAGTGGAAAATTGGCAATATAATTATTGTTTTATCGTATGAAGTCTTGTTTTTATGATTTGTTTACTTAAAAAAATGTTCATCTTAAACTTGAGGTGCATAGATACTCGGGGGAGCCGTTGGGTGCTTATTCATTCCAATTTTAAACTTATTTGGTTTGTAATCATGTAATTCTGGAAAATTTAACTGAATGTGCGCTTGCGATGGGGTCTTATGTAATTTGGTAACATACTAGTACATTATTCTCGAAAAAAGTAATTGGGCTGTGGTGAATTATTCGAATTTTACCGTATAGAAAACGTCTAACGGCTCAGGTGTTGGTGTCGGTAAGCTTGTAATGTATAAACTGATGTCCGGAGAGGCCAGGCAAACTTAAAGCGCAAGTGCCGCGTCCTGGTAACGCCCCTCGCGCCGTCGTCAATTATTTGTCTTTTTTGTTATAACGTCATTGTCTCTTGTTCGTTTACTTCCTCCTCTATCCTTCTGTTCTTATTCACAATAACCACCCCTTCCGTAACGGAATACACCCTGAACAATTATTACGAAACGCGCGCAGCAAGCCCTTTGCCTATTCTCTTTTTCTTACTTGTTCGCCGACGTTTTCTTCTCCTTATTCTCTTCGCTGCTTCCACTGCCGACTGGTTTTATTCTTGCCCTCACCCACGAACTTCTTCCACAACGTGAATAATAATTACTACTCTTCCTCGTTCTACTCTACGTTTCATATACGCATACTCTACCCTCTCTCTAACATCATCATTATATTATATTGTGTTTGTATGTATTGGTGGCCGTGGACTCAGATGTATTTGTGTGTGTGTGTGTATAAGAAGGTATAAAAAAATATTAAACCGAGGGTGGGGCCACTACCCTGATGTATAATGATTGGAAATAATTTTAATTTCGTCGATAGCCTAAAAATGTTTTCCCTTTACGAGTTCCAATAATAGACTTTTCATTGCCCTTGTCTTTCTCTTCTTTCTATGCGTTTATTATTAATAATAATAAAGTCCTTATTTTTTTGCTCATTATTCATTCAAAATACTATAATCGACATCTTTTGTCAAACTACCGAATTTCCTAGTCACTTGTGTAATTAGATTTATTTACTATTTTTACCTTTTAAAAATATTGTTTGTATGTTTGTAACTTAATAAAGCCCTTATATTAATTTTGATGATACAATGTACGATTATTGTGAATTGAATAATTTCCATGACTTGCATGTTCCATTCTTTTTGGTTTAAACTAAAATATTAACAATGACAACTTTACATTAATGTCTTAATTTATTTGTAGTTACATTATTCGTTACGATAAATCCAATACAACCATTGGTTTACGTAATCTCATGGTAAAATTGCTACTCACTTACATAGTAACATTGAATTATTATCATAAAATAAAAAAAACTGTTTTATTCTTTCAGTACGACTTTCGAAAGCCACAGATTATAAAAAGTAATGTAGGTACTTTTTTAGATGGCAATAACATCAGTTTACACCTATTTATTTTAAATAGCGCATAAAAGTAAACTTGGATATAAATTCAATAATTATTGTATTCGCTGATGTTCGGATGATTTTTATGACTAAATAATAGACTTAATCACATTAAAGCTGTTATAGATTAAATTTTATATCTACGAAAATTATACCCGATTAAATAATATGTTTAGAAATGTTTAAATTTATAATTTAATATTATTTTAGTTAAACCACTGAAAAACATTGATTTTAACAACGAAGTAATTATTATTATTATTTGTAACAAAAGGTTTATTTATTATATTCCATCGTTTTTATGGTCTCTTATGGCTGGGGAGATTTTGCATGCCAGCAAGTGGCGCTGCCAATCGGAATTCGCAGAGACCAGAAATTGCCAACAGCATATAATGTTTGGATATCACTGTAAATAAACGAATGGAGATATGAAAAAAGAAAAAAGCGTTTCTTCGAAATAACGAGTTAGTTTTTTGTAAAAAAAAAAACGTAATTGTTTATGTTTTACGGATTGATAAATTTTTAGAGTAAACTAATATGTTATTTACTAGTTACTGTAGCTGGTTAAAAATGACATGCCATAATTTCGGATTTGTGGTTTATATTAAGGAGACTAATGGTATTTAAATATCTTTTAAAAGGTTTTAACATGCATTGCTTAAAATAGTGAGATTCGACGTGTTAGTTGTTAAGTTATTATTATAATATTAAACCGAATACCATTTACTTAAATGTTATTTACATAGTCTAAGGTCTTACAAAATATAAATATTCTAATGAATGTGTTTTCATTATTACACACAATATTTTGTTGAAATGACCCATTTTTACTGATCGACAGGTATACAATACAGGTAAACTCTTAATAGTGTGCCAATAGTTTTTAATTTGGTAAATACGGTGTAAAAACCACAAAGTTGATAAATTGTAAAGAACTTATTCAAAACCTTAAAACGAATGGTAACGTTTGAAATTTGGTGTTTTAATGTCGGCGGGTAAATATTTAATCAAATAAAACGTGACTAAGATTTCCATTTTTCAAATCGTCATGAAATGCTTTTTGTTTATACGAGTTAGTTAGAATTAAAATGTGCTGTTATCAATATTGATTGATTTAATACTTATTATTTATATTACTTAATAAAATATATTCTTATATAATCAAGTTTTTTTCAGATACACAATGCATTAATCAAATGACAATTGGAAAAGAAATAATTGAGATTAAAATCATTATATTATAAAGATGGTTTTTGTCCCAAACTTATTGTTTGTACTTATAAGTTGTTTTTTCGAGTTCATTTTTATTTCAATAGACCAGAGTAAAATCTATAGTGAAATTGAATGTTGTTTTTAAAAGAAAAAATAACAGTGGAAAAAATCGTGAAGTTTAAAAGTTAATTAAAATATTTTTCACACTTTTTAAATTATTGTGAATTCAAAAATCCTTTGAGTTTTTAACTCAGTTAAAATTGTACAAATATATTACATCAATTTTATTAAAATTAGTATAAAGTCGGTTAAACAATTCCGTTATTTTGTATAATATAATAACATACGAAAATTATTATTTTAATACCAATATGTTGCGATTATAATCATTTTTTTTGTATTACATAAATGTATTATTATTATGATTCTCTATAATTTATCTGCAGTAATAAATTATGTTAAAATAAATACACTAAGATAATTACTAGTGTACTAATAATGGAATAATATATTAATATGTGTCTTGATTAATATAACAAAATGTAAGCTTACTGTCTGTACAAATGATGTTGTGTAAGTCTAGTCTATTGAAAGACTTGTATGATTATATATTATAGTTTTATTTGACTTTTACTGTAACTATAAAACTTCACAATCTATAATATGTATTTATGTAGGGAATCGATTATTGGTTTCCGGTAGATTAAAGCACATTAATCAACCGACTGCCGCATACAATAGAATGAGCAGCATCACAATCGTGAACGTCAGAGTAATATTGTAGCTATTATTGGTTTGCATCCTGAAGTCAAGACAAGACACGAGAGGTTGAAATAAAATAAATGAGCCGGTTAAACATACCTATACTATCTAAAAGTCGTGTAAAGTTAAGAACAACAAGCGCAAGTCAGTTTTATATTTTTACAGACGTATTTTTATGTCATCGTGAGGTGGCAAGAGACGGGTGGGGAGGCGAATAGATCGGTAGATAGTCATATTCATGGGTCATTGTAAAAACCTAATACAACATGGCGATGACGATTGTAGCGGCCTAGAGTATACTTTATCTGCCGTATACAAACGTCCCATTCTGCACACTTCCCCTCATCTTTACCTACAGTACAACGCTACTACCTTTACCACCTCTGCTTTTGGCGTCATCATCACAAAA